CCGCCGGGTCGGAGTTCGCCCGGTCTCCTCAGTACCAGTTGGCATTTTGCGTGCCCTCTGTTTTGGTCGACTGTGAGGCTCGGGGGTGGGCCGACCACGAGTCGGCGCAGCTGGCACTTCCGGCTGCCTGTCCTCAGGTCTCTCATCCCACTTCCGCTTTCGCGGAATGCGCTCACTTCGACGTTCTTCTGCTGCTCTTGCTGGAGCCGGAGCCGGAGGTGTACTGGCAGGTTCCTCGTCCGGATCCGTGTCTACTTTGGCCTCCCTCGAATATCTACCTGGATAGTTCCGGGTCAGCTGCGGAAACCGTGTTTTCTCAGCATTTGTCAAACATCCCATCGCCCGATAAAACACGATCAAGTAAGGCGAGAGATGATTGAGGGTTCCTCCTTTCTCTTCTTGCGCATGTTGGCGCGTCACCTTCCACAGGAGCCGTGCCCAATGCACTGGAGCTCCTGACAACACTAGCTCCACAAATTCTACCTGCCAACCATGCATGTAAGCGGTCTTGGTCGGCTGCAATATCTGCAGCAATGCAGTCGCGACATTTCTCCGCAATCGATCTTTGTAATCCCGTGTCCGGAAACCGTTCTTGGGATGCCTGGCAACTTTGAAGAGCTCATTGTAGGAGACTTCTTCCTCCTGGGACACCTTCACGCTATCGGCCTCGAAGAGGAGATCCCCTTCCTCGCCGGCACACCTGCCCAACACCTGCGCCCAGTTGCAAATGTCCCATCTTTCTGGATGTGGACGGAATCCGCGAGAGGGCTTGTGTCTCTCCTGCAGATACTCGCGCACCATCTCCGGACATGTCCAGTTCCACCCCCACAGGAGAAAATCGAGCTTCAGCCTCAGCAGCACATCTTGAAATGCGCGTAGACCGATCTGCGGCACCCTGAGTGGAGACACTCGCAGCTGGGGAACCTTCGACATTGCGTTGCGTGCACACACAAACGTTCTCCCTTTCGCTCGCTCTCTCACAATCGCCACTGCGCGTCGGCCGCTCAAGCACTGACTGCTCACTCTCTCTGCGCTCAAGCTCAAGATCGCTACTCGCAATTCTCTCCAAGGTCTGCCAAGATCCTTGCGCAACTCGTCTCCGCACTCTCTCCTCTCACTGCAGGTCGCTCCGCTCTTGCGCGTAATCTTGGAAACTGGAAATTGCAAAATCAAGAATGAGAGAATGAGACTGGAGCGCAGTCTTTTCTTCTCCGATTTCAAGAACGTCCAACGTTCTTACTGGTTACAACGTACGCAGCCGGCTATACGGCCTAACGGTTCGCCCTTTGCATGCGCGAATTCACGTCTCCGCACTGCGCGCATTCGCATGCGTAAATGTTGAATTCTCCCGCCGCCGCCACCTTCCGGACTCGAGTCCGCCGCAGGGTATACGTCGGCCATGTTGTCTTTTCCTAATCTGTACCTCACCGGAGGCGTGTCGCCGCTGGTGCGTTCCTTATCCGTCGGCGCCTTGCTGGAGGCGCACATCTAGTCGGAGCGAATTACGCCGGCGCGCAGTCGTACCGCTTATTTTGTCCTTTATGCCTCGTCCATTGCTGCCGGCGCATATCCGCCAGCGCAACTCATGCCACCGCATCCGGCCGTCAGCGCCACGTCGGAGGCGTACATCCGACCGGCGCTTTCCTTCCATGAACAGCCGCCAAAGGCGCTTCCGACTCTGAGTTGGTTTCCTCCTATGAGCGCGTGATTCCGCCGAAGGCGCGTCGCCAAGGGCGTACGGGAATCCTTTCCGGTTGTGAACCCTAGCGCGAACGGCGCATGTCCGGCTACGAGTTTTCCGACGTTGATAACTTCTCCGTCCCTGATCCATCTCCGACGCTCTTGGGCTCGTTAGAACGAGCGTCTCGAGCTCTTTCTAATGGAACTTCAACCAACTGGATCTACCGTGTATCCCGATCGTTATGAAGGTTTTCCCTTTCCGCGCTAGCGGCGCATCGCCGAAGGCGCACTCATGGTCGGACGCCTTCAGAGGTCCGGGCCCTTCTCCTGACGTCTTTAGCAAAACCTACTCCTGAGGTGTCTGCGCCGGAAGCGTAGCTTCCTTATACGCTGGAGTCGCGTGAGTAGAGACACCTCAGAAAAGGAGCTTTTGCCGAAGGCGCCGAAGACATTGGCGTTGGTACATCCGACTACGTGATTCTTCGTGTCCTCGTGACGATCTCATCAATCCACTCTTTTTAACGTACCCTTTTCTAACTACAAACACTGCTTCGGTACTAGTTTTCTAAAATTGTTTAAATTCTGCAAAAAAAACAAAAAGTGTGTTACCACATCTGTACCCCCTGCGGTTGGTGTGAGTCGAGGGTGACGTCCACGGCGTATGAAGGGGCTTCGTTCCGAAGTGGGAAGTCCAGTCCGGGTTCCCTACGCTAGTTCCTGGCGGAAGGGCAGTAAAAGCCGGAGTGGGAGTCACTACCTGCAGAACCTCTGAGTGAACTTTTGAGACACTTTCCCCCTGAAATCCGAAGCGGAGGTCCTGACCGACCTCCGACTTGTGCTTTTGCCAGTTTCAGGTGTGTGTGTGTGTGTTGAGTGACTACGCTGTACTGTGCATCCTCCGAGCATCCTCCGAGTCGAGCATCCTCCTCCGAGTCGAGCCTCCGAGTCGAGCACTGCAGTATTTCTGGGAGTGACAGTCGCCTGAGAATTCAAACTCTACAAAAGTCTGTTAAACGTGACACTTTTTACTCTGTGTGTTGCCTCTGTCCCTGTGGGTTCGATCTTTTTACCACCATATTGCAGTTTTAGCCTTTGGTGGGTTATTACACATAACATACTGACATCATGTATGACTCTATCACAGATGCAGTGTGTGATAAAAATATTGAGTTAATTAGTATGGACAATAAGCTCAATCAAACTAATGCTCTCACCATAATCACCAAAGTTTTGGAATACATTGTGTTACCATGGAGGTTTTGCTTGAGGAGCACAAGTATAGTTTATTAGCAACTTTTGTTATCTCCTTATATTTATACTTTATCATGTTTTGGTTACGGCTTAATTCTACTTCTAAGAGATATTTTGATTAAATTTCCTTTTGAAACTACTAGTAGAGTATTTGTATAGGCTATGGATATATGTATCCACAACATGATTTAAGGTACAGATTGTTAGTAGTTAATTCAAACTTTGGGATAAAATCAAATCAACTTAATTCAAATTAGAATTAAAAATACCATAGTGTTAATCCTAGGATTTAGATTACCAAGTATATATGAGGGACTAAAACACAATCTGCATTGAAATATTGTATGTTCTATCAATAAGAGATTTTTTTTTATCTACATAGTCCAAATATGGCTAGTCACAATACTTCTTCTCGCCAGTTTTCTGTTTTGTGCATGTGTAGATTTTCTTGTTGCATCAAACAATTGCAGATTATCAGATTTACTCAAATTACTTTTTTGTAGTCTTAAGATAAATTTAGAAAATTCTTATATTTTATCTGAAGAAATTATGATAAATAAAAATTCTCAGTAGTCATTTGTATATATATATATATATATATTTAGATATATACATAAAATTTGAGATATATTAGTCTCTTTGCAATGATTAATATGATGCATTTTTCAAAAACATAAAAATTCAAGAACGCTTAAATAAATTATTCTAAGTGCAAAAAAACCTATTACAACTATATCACTTGATTTTTTTTTAAAAATCATAACTTAGAAAAATTTAAATTCAAATAATGAAAATATTTGAACTAAAAATATCTTAATTATACCTCAAGTTCCTTGCAAGAATCTTGCGAGATATGTTGAAATCATTTTTCATTATATTTTTATTTATCCAAAGTAAAAAATTTATCTAATGAGTGGTAAAACCTCTCATCTTAAATTGAGGTTTATTCTCTCGATTTAATTTAGTTTGAAAATATTTTGAATATGAAATTCAAGTAGCATTAATGATGGGAAAAAGCTGAATATCATATTTAAGATCTTGTATATTCAAGAAAAGTTAACGATAAATCTAGCCTATTCACACTAGAGAAATTTATAGCATAGTTAATTATTTTATCTTTCTGATCTAACTGATGTCCACGATCTTGCTTTGATGAAAGCAATGTTATATTTTTTTATTTCTATCCTTAAAGCCAACCTAGAAGAAGAATCTTTACCTTGATTGATAGGCAGCATTATGCGCAATCGATGCAGATATTCTCAACCTGTTAAAGTTTGTCATATATGAAACCTTTTCAAAAAAATACAAAACTAGGCGTAAAATATCACACCCACATGATTCAATAGGATTCACTATGTCTTCCGATGTTAGTCCGCAGGCAATGTTGCGAACAAATATCAAAATCCAGCCTGGATCTCCAAGAGTGTAAATCACACGGGGTACTTGGAGACTTTGGAGACTTACAGAGTCAGTCTCTTATATAGTAATATCTAGCTAACAGAGTCTAACTAATCATAATGAGACTAACTAGATATAACAAATTTCAAGCTAACTCATAACTTTCTTTGGTGTGTATTTTCACAAGAACATAAGCACACATGCAAAAACGGAAACATACAGTATAGAAATGCCAAGGTGAGGTTACAAGGTTGCGGGCAATATCATACACATGCGATGAAAAGGAAGATGGAACGTGTCTTCGCAAACTGAGAACTGGTGAGAGAAAAGCTATCATACACATGCGATGAAAAGGAAGATGGAACGTGTCTTCGCAAACTGAGAACTGGTGAGAGAAAAGCCAAGGCCAGGTACCGTCAAATGCATTTCTGCACAAGCCTCATGGATTTCGTCAAGCGGTTGGAGAGAGCAAGTCTGTATGCTGGGAATAATGTTCTATCCGCATTCATCGATCTATCGACAACTTGTGAGAGACTCATTCTGTCCCCCAGCTCTGCAAGTGTTGCACTGGATAAAATTGACATGGATGCGAAATGTTTATATCGAGACTGTCGAACCCGAGGTTTACCACGGATCGACACTCAGAAGATTCGCCGTCACAAACCTGTCTCATCTCACTATCTGTCACAAGTCTCAGATCAACCGGCTCCAAACGCAGTTGGTGATTTTACTCACAGCCCCCAAATCCCCTACCCTAAGCTTCTTGCTCAAGACCAGCTCTCTGAAGCTGAAAGTCTAGGCTTGCACATCACACGACTCAGTCAAGCAGTAACAATCCAGACGAGATCGTTAAACCCACGGAAATCCGCCCAGTCATCTGTATCAATGATACATAGTCCAGGAGAGTCTACCATCAGAAGTACGATGATTCCCAGTACTAGTTGCCAGCCGTACTTCTCATCCTCTTCAGTGTTACTGCGCATGATCTTTCAGGTTGCTGCTCTCTAATCTATGTTTGCCAGCGGTACCATCATGGCTCGCATCAACGTAGGCCCGGTCTTGCCAATCTGAACAACAGAGCATCCCACGCCATGGTCCACTCACTTGTCGTTGAGAATGCTGAACACGATTTGACCTCGCGGTTGACGCCCCCTAGATTTCAGAGATGGTCTCACCGAGTTATGTGGATAAGAAGGGGAAGAGTTCTGAAGGCCGCAAGCCTTCATGCAGCGGTTCAGAAGCTGGAATCAAGGCATGTCAGTTAGCGAGCCCTCACACGCGTGTCGCTAGCAACAGAGGTGCCGATTGATCGGCCTCGTGCAGAAAACTGGAGAGCAGCGGATGGAATAGGCAGGATTCGCCCAATAGTAATCATTTCCTTCGGCAGATGCAAATATTGGATCATGAGCAGATCGTCTGGTGCAAAAACTATTGTCAGAGCAGGTGTCGAGAAGAGGCAAACCGTTAAGAGAAAAAAAGTTGGAGAAATTGTCGAACTTCCACTATCGCTCGCCATGCATGCACGATCTGCAGTTGAACAGTATCCGGTCTTCAGCGTTCCAGAATCTGATGCCCACTTCTCGAGGGGAGCCTATTTCGGCCACGAGCCACTTCCTAGTACGACAGCTCGAAACGGCGCAAGACCTCCGGAGTCGGAGTATTGTCATCCTCTTCTCGTCTACAGTTCTCCGACCAATATGACACTTGTCTTTTCACATGGAAGGCCGAGATATGAGGAGCCTGCTGGTGAAGCTATAAAACGTATAGCTCAGATCACTGACAACATCGCCTCCTCAGTTTGAGTCATCAGAAGAGAAGAAGCAGAAGCAGCAGAGCAGGAGAAGCAGAAACAGCAGAGCAGGAGAATCAGATTCTTCAGAATAGCAGTGATGGCTTCGAGCTTGACAGCAGTTTTGCTCCTTCTGCTTGCCTCTGCCGGAATAGCAGGCGCTGCTCTATCACGGGAAAGACAATTTTTGGATCCTCACAATAAAGCTCGTAAGGCTGTCAAAGTCCCCAACTTGTCATGGGACTCGAATCTGGCCAAGTACGCGCAGAATTGGGCCAACAAGCAAGCCCGTAACAACTGTCAGCTGAAGGTCTCTAATGGCCCATACGGTGAGAACCTGTACTGGTCAAGCTGGAGCAGCACTCCCTTGGATGCTGTGAAGGCCTTTGTCAGCGAGAAGCAGTTCTACAACCACGCATCGAACACCTGCAAAGCAAAGAATTCGTGTCTGAATTACACTCAGGTACACTAATCCCCTCTTCCACCCAATGCTTTGTAGTTACATGGACTCGGAACATACTCTGATCACGATCAGAGTATGTCTAAGAACTTTCTGTAATTCTGGCAGTGTGTAATCAATGGTTGTCGACTGCAGGTTGTCTGGAAGAAAACGACGAAGCTCGGTTGTGGATCTTCCAGGTGTCCGAGGGGAGGAACTATCACTGTGTGCAGCTACAATCCTCGAGGGAATTTCATTGGCCAGAGGCCATACTAGACCACGCTGAGTTCAAGGAATGAACCATAACAGGGCCAAGTCTGTTCCATCGTGTTCGTTTTGGGCTGATTTTTGGTGTTTCGGACAATCTGTTGTCAATTTTACGTACCTACTAATTAATTGACTGAACTAGTGAACGTAGTACTAGTGAATAAACATCACTCACTTTCTAGAAATGTGCAGGCTACATTAGCCCAGGTGTTAAAATTCTACACAATCGCCAGCTTTACCCAGCCAGGCAGCCGTCCTCCTTATCGCGTTGCGCTGCAAAGTCGGAATTTCTTTCTCTCTGCTGGGTTGATTGGTGATGTTAGCAACTCCATTGTTTAAAGTGGAGATTTGTCCTCGGTGTAATAAACCCGACTGGCTTACAAAAGTTGTGTACTTTGAGACAGACTGTACTCTAAGAGTCTGGTGGAAAATCAACTCGATTAAGTAGCCAAGCAGGTTATTTTCAGACATTGCAGCAACAAAATCTGCCTTCAATTAATTCCACGTGGGCCGCTCCTTCTAGCAAATTGACTCATTTCATGGAAGTTCGATTTATTCTGTTTACCTTTTCGGTAAACAGATCCACCCTTAGCTACAAATCTCTTATATCTTCAGCAAATTCTTGCAGAAAAATCTTAAAATACTGGCAGTTTTTGTCTCTAGCAATCCCTCGCAATCCATCATCCAATACACAGCATTCTGTTGATCCTCAAAGCACCAAGGGCGCTTCAAGAGTTCTGGCAAGCATTTGATCTCAACATTGTGGCATCGGACCAAGAACTGTTATGAGCTCTCATGCAATAAGGTTTCCAAACGCGTAGACCTTGTCACATTCGATTGGTCCCCTTGACTCTACGATCTCCATCAGCCAAATATGCACCAAGTAGCACTCTTCTTGGGAACTATACTTATCACTATAGATGAGATTATTTCGTATGAGTTCATCAGCATTCAGAAGACCTTCCCTCAACAAGATCTTATCATTTGTTTCCTTCTACAAATTGTCTGTAAAGGTACAAGGCGGACCCACCTAACAGTGATCTCACTCAGTTCCATTGGCATTCACAAGATCTGTATTGATAAGAGTGATTCCTTTTTTAACTTGTTTGTAATCTACTTCCAACATACTTGCAAGATGGATAAATCTTCCCTCGCTATTCTATTAGCTCAATATTTGCCAATATATGATTGACTCATACAATTGACTGCTGTTGGCAAATAATGAATATATAAAATATTTGTCAACAATCTTCTGCATGTTACTCTCAAATAAACCCTCAGCTGATACATTTATGAGCAGATTTTACGCCCTAATTTCTTAGTTCTATCTCAACTTTGAGATTTGACTTTGATCTTGTACAAAGAAAACTAAAATACGTTAATATCTTGATTGGATCGATAAAAAATTTCATACAGAAATATTCTTCTAAATGTGATTTAGTGTTATTTTGGAAAAATTTAAGAGAATCTCATCTCATGAAGAGAAAATTATTATAAATAGTTGAAATGAAAATAAAAAGTTTGAATCATGAATTCTCAACATGCACTTTTAATTTTCTAAACGTATTTTGACTTTGGCACTAAGTATGGTCTTTGTTCCATTTTTTTAACCACAAGTTCTCTAAAAGTGCCTAGCCAGCGGTATAATTTTGAATGAAAATACTAATAACAAAGGTGAAGTAAGTGTATATATATATATATATATATGATATCAAAATTATCTTTTGTAATTTTTCAGACTGCATCTAAATAACTGAAATGATTTAGAAAATTCAAATCGTAATCTTTAGCATTGCAACTTTTTATGACATCAGAAAACGGCTTTAATGTTTAATATGAAAAGACAAATGCGCTCATTGATGAATATTATATATAAAATCAATCACCAGTTCACACATGAAATCAATGTCAAAGAAAAAAAATGATTCTTCAGGTGTGTAATGTGAAAGCCATCCATCTCTTTGTTGAGATTAACTTTGGTTATGTAAACTTAGTTTCTAGTTAAAAATAGTTAGGAGTGATGGCGGTATTGGCATACTTATATCCCAAGTTTTGTGTATTATTAAGAACAATCTTTCAGTATACTCTCGTGCGTAAGATTTCCGTTGTGGACATAGCTTCTTTGAAGAGATGAATCACGTTACATTTTGCTGTCCATTGTTTTCTATCACTTGATGTACTGTCATTTGATCTTGCATGTTTTGCACTAAAAAATTACTATGAGAGCTCTGGTTTGTGACACTGGTTTATTGAAAGTGTCACAAGAGTGATTACATCAAGAAAGATTGTCCTGTAAAAGTTAAAGGCGCAATATTCATTTCATTGTCAAATATTGCAAACTCCAATTGGCAGAAGAGATTTCAATCTAGAGGTAAATCTTTTTAGATGAAGATAGTGGCTTGTTGAAAATGTGGCAAAAATGATCACATGAACAAAGACTTTGGTTAATGTTTAATGTAAATGTCACAAACGCTGTCAGCATCTCAATGGTATCTCAATGGTTAATGTTTAGTGTAAATGTCACAAACGCTGTTTCCCTTCCATTGATGAATGATGGAGAGCATTTTGACTCTAAAGAGTAAAATTTTCTGGATGACGATCTATGATGCTTACGTATTATAGGCTATGGGATCTGATAGCCTATAGATTGTTGTCAGCAAAGATATATATTTCAAGTAGACCTAAATCATTGAAAGAGTGAAAGAGTTTTCAAGCTCTTCGTACTGACAAGGTATAATCCTTGCTCACGAATATGATTTTGAGAAAGTTAAATCCTTATGTGATTAATGATCAAGAAGTATCACATATAATGATAGAGTTTATGAACACATAATTGAGCTAGTCAATATTAACAATAAATTTTGGTAATTGAACTAGTCAAGATTGACTGTACATCTTGATAATTGACCTTATCCAGATTGACGATAATCTTTGATAATCGAGATAGTCAAGATTAACGATATGCTCAATCCAACCGATGCGCTGATACAAATTATTACTTTGGAGAGTTTCTGGCCATACTCTATTACTATGCATGTAATAAATGGGAAGTACAATTAGAGTTTGTTAATATAGTATTTTCAATCATCTCTTTTTTTAATTACTCTATCCTGGTATAAATCACGTTACATTTTGTTGTATATTGTTTAATGGCACCTAATCTATTGTCACTTGATCTTGCGTATTTTGCACTAATCCACTTTCTGTGTATTTGGCTAAAATATTCAAATAGCTTTGTGGCGTCAGAGGTAGATTTCTGGAGCAAGATTTCACTCAGTCATGTAGATTTGATGACCGCATGTCAAATACTTTAGAGCCCTCCACCAAATGAATCAATTCCCAAGCCAATGCCGAAATCATCTTGTATCAAACGAATCCAAAAATATAGGGTTTAAGGTTGCTACCAATATGGACTATAAACACACCCTCCATTGACACATAGTTCCTCTTGCTTTCCATCATTCATTGGCCAGAAATTTCTACTTTCATCAGCAAATAAGAAAGTAGATGTCAAAAGTTAAGAAGTAATTATAAAGGAAAGAGAAGCATTTTCTCTTCCCTCAAGACGAGATCTCGTAAACTGACACGGGAAAACTTGCAGTAGTGATGAAATGTTGAAAGATCATGGACTAGAAAATGTCCATCAAGTGTGCACCACTCATAAACCAGCACTTTATTCGTTATGTTTCTTTGTTTTGTCCTAAGATCGTCATCTTGGCAGCATGTACTTGACAATACTTTCCTGTTTTACCCAGAGTGTCATTTCCTGAAAGGTATTCTTACTATCTCTATTGTTGTCGTGCATCTTTCTAGTTTCCATCTCCTGCGCTTTCAGCTGTACATTCCTATAGAACGAACGAGCCCCTAGATCGCCAAAGAAATATATTACTTTTGTATACGAGGCATGTTCACAGATTTTCACAATATTAGCATAGCGTCAATAGTCCATGCAGTCCATCTCCTTGACACATATTCGTTTTCCAGCAATTATTCAGGCTCGAGAAGTCTATCAATGGACGTCCAGCTCTATTCGTTGTAGAGCTAGAGAAGAGATCTTTAATCTCAATACATGCTCCAGTTCAAAGAGCGTCGAAGAGAGAAATCTTGTCCATGAATGGTAGCAGGACTCTCGAAGAAAGAGAGGGGCAACACAATCTACTCCACAGCATGCATAACCTCCTCATCAAATAAGAGGCATCTAGCCTCATTTGGAACTTTCCATTTTCATCCGAATCGATCATATTGATCGCAAGCTCCAAAAAATTTAGTTAGAGATCGGTAGCCGAGCTGCAACCAACGGAGTTCGAGGTTTCCCAGCTCACATTTTCTTTTGCTCGACAGGGACTATCATCGAGGCAGATATTGTCAATATTGGATATACTTTCTGCAGCACTCCATTCAAAGAAGATTTCGTTAATGTATGACATATCTTTTGATACAAAGAAACCCGATAATACGGACACAACACAAACATCTATCTACAGAAGCAAGAAGACAAATGGCGATTGGTTCTTATTTGTAGAGTAGATGATGCTTATATAATTGACCGGTTGGCTCGGTTCCCCTTCTGACTATTTGATTATGAAGAGTCAGTGCGTACTTCTGATTTGCTAGTAGAGCTTGACACATGCCAGTGAAAGCACCACCAGATCATCCTTTATGCAATCAACCTGGTGGGAATATAATATGGTCACTGCCCAGAGCAAAGCTGGCGCAGCATGTCGCTTCTGTCAGAAAAGTTCTCATTGTGTTTGTTTGCAAATCAGACAATTCTCCTCGTGATGGAATAAAGAAAGGCTGTGCTCATGAGTCCGTGCGCACTTTCTGATTTACACGTAGAACATGACGCATGCCAGCGGAAAGCACTACCGAACGAGCCTTCACGTTTTTCATCCGGTGCCAATACAATCATCTCCCTGCCCGAAGGAACGCTGACGGGACTCGTCATGAGGAAAGAGCTCTCATTGTGTTCGGTCCGCAGATCAGACTCTTCTGCTTGTGCTTTTGATGACATGACACATGCAATCCTTTTATATTGGCTGAAGCTATCTTCCGAATGTATCATTAAAAAAGGGACGAGTTCAAGGATTCTGCACAAGATCAATCGATTGTATTACACGTTAAGCAGAGTCCAATCCAGAGCAAGTTATTGTAGGCGTATGAACCACTTGAAAATACGTGATGTGTTTTGTTTCATGAGCCAAGTACACTGGTTTTCTCAAAATTCCACATACCCGAGAAGATGTTGTCTTTTCCAATTGTAGACATTTAGTTTTATCAGTCGATGAAGGATTATAATTAACAGCTAATTAGTAAGCCCCAGGTCTGATTATCAAGCTGGTCAAGCACAACCTTTATGCTGAGGAATTATGGGATCCTGGGGTCGGTTGAGACCATACATACCCCGGTGAGATATTCCCGGCTCGCCTAATTCGGTGTCGGTAACACGGCAAACTGGCCAGCGAAGAGATTTTTTTATTATTTTTTTTCGCCCTTCTGAAATCCCGGCTGCCGAATCTCCACCCTGCCTAAAATCCGGGAGTGCGTTTTGACCCTCCCGGAAACTCGTGAGTCTTCTGTTCCGGCTGGCAAATGCTCTTCAATGTTTCTCCCTACCCTCTGGTTTGTTTCCGTCATTTTGCCGGGAAAAAGCGTCGGCTGCAACGCAAAGGGATCGGCGTCCCGGAATGCGTCGAGTGAACGTAGCACGTAAAGAGATTGCAAAGTTCTGCTAGAACTTTGCAACGATTCCTCGGGGGCAGCGAGATGGAGATGGCGGAATTACCCACTTCCAAGAACAAATGTTGAACTTGGCACGTCAGTTGGTGTTTCAGCTCCAGCTTCAGATTCGGTGGAGATCAAACATCACACTTTTGGCAGTCGCTTTTGACAAGTGTCACACTCCCATTGCATTGTCGGCTCGTGGTTTCTGGTGGCCGCAGAGTTCGGATGCACGCAAAATCCGCCTCTTTCATTTCTGGTCAGCTGAAATTCGCAGTGAGAGTGTCTAACTCCTGCTAAAACTCGGGATCGCGTTTTGGGCACCTCCACAATCTGACAATCTCGAGGTTTCGGTGGCGCATCGAGTTCTGCAACGACCCGCAACATTCCAACATCGACCAAGGGATGTCACGCAGGGGACCGGATCTTCTGTGGCTATGTACACGGCTTGCCACAGGGCCCATGAGGCACAATTAAGATACACGTCCGATGAACACATGCTGAAGTTCCGAGCCATGATTTTGGGAAACTGATGCATAAATATGACGGCGCTCGGGTAGTCTCGGATCAAGAGGAGGAGCGTTGTCGGTTTCATGAGGAGTGTCTGTCGAGTGAAGTGAGTTGAGGTGAGGTGAGGTGAGGTGAAGTGAAGTTCCTGTCTTGTGAGTCGACGACGAGGAATCGAAATGGCTACGGCGATGTCTGTTATTTTGATGGCATTGGCTGCCCTTCTATTCGTGAGTATTCTTCGGAATGCAATGATGCTCTTCCGAGTCGCCATCTGGCAGCGTTTTAAGGTGATCAGAATGATGAAGAAGGAGGGATACAGTGGACCACCATTCTCGGTGTTCTCAGACAATCTCCAGGAGTCGAGGGCGATGAAGCAAAAGGCTCGCGAGGCAAATGCCTTGCAGAGATTCGGCACCGTCGACCATGACATATGGCATCGAGTCCATCCTGATATTAAAGAGTGGAAGAAGCTCTACGGTACATCTCCATCATTCTACAGAGCATTGTAATGATTTTAGCTGCTCTCTGATCAGACCTGCCCTGCAAGGTCTGATCATAGAACGCTGTAATACCATAAAGGGCTGCTCTTATAAATCTGCGTATAGACTGATCAGAATCCTCCTGTAGATCTGCTGCCTCTTCTACTCACAGTCTCGTACATGCTATGCCTTGTTCAACGAATTTTCCGAGAGCTTCAGAGTTCAAACCATACTGCATTGTTGGATTTTCAGGGGAAAGATTATTTTATCGTCCAGAGAAGCACCTCATCGTTCTCTTGGGCTTTGATGAACCGGACGTCGTGAGGACGATGTTCGCACACAAGACGGATGAGTTCAGCAAGGGCTACAGTCCCTTAGCTGAAACTGTTCTGGGAAAAGGAGGACTGGCGCTAACTGTGGACCATGAGAGCTGGGCTCGACAAAGACGGGTTGTGAGACCGGTGTTTTACGCGAGCTATATCAAGGTTCTCTACTATTTGTTCTTGGCTTGGAAATAAACATAGAGCATAGACGTGTACTAGGTGTTCTCTATTGTAGTCTGCAAACAAGGGGACAACTTTTTTCCACCGGGTGCGGAAGTGCACTTGCTACGGCATCCAGATGTTGAGAGATGAATTAGAAACTGGTGCACATTTTACATTACATTTTATTTTTTCTAAATGTGTAGAATTTACTTTAAGTTGGAACATGGAGTCCATAAATTGAGATAATGAGAATGAAATTTTGGTCAGGGTGAAAACACCTGCGTTGGAGTCCACCAATCTCAGTTCATAATCATTCTTGAGTGTCTCAGCTATCTCAGTCTCACTTTTCGAGTTTAACGAAATTTGCGACCGTCACTGTCATTTAATGTACGCAGGATACTACGAAAGTCATGACGCCAATAGTTACTGCATGGCTCAAAACATTGGAAGACAAAGCGACTGGGAGTGGGGGTTCTGTTGAGGTTGACATTTTGAAGTCCCTCGGAACTGTGGTAAGAGATGTCCTTGCCCAGGTAGCTTTCGGGATCGACTTTCTTGAGGGAAAGAAAGCATTCGAAGATCAGGAAAAACTCAAAGCTTTGGAGCTTGAATCTGGAGGAGTCATTCATCCTTTCTTTAGGCAAGTATTTATATAGAGAGGCAAAATTTCTCAGAGCAAGAGAATTCGTAGGCTCACTTTTCGTTACCAAGAGTCACTGAGCAGTTCAATCTGATGATCAAATGCAGGTTGCTGCCCACTCCTAGGAATTGGCAAATACGAAGAACCCGCAGTGCTGTCACAAGGTGTATGAAAGCTATAATACAAAAGCGCAGGATGGCTTTCAAGAATGGAGCCCTGGACTCGCTCGGCGATGACCTTTTGGGCGTACTTCTCAATGCAGTCGAGGATGACGTAGCAGCTTTGTCCGACCCGAAGCAGAAGATGAAAAAGCATGCCATGCCATGGACGGATGATCTACTCGTCGATCAATGTCGGACTTTCTTCCAAGCTGGAACAAATACGGTCTCCGTCACCACCTCCTGGGTCCTGATTCTACTGGCGAACTATCCAGAGTGGCAGGAAAGAATCCGAAAGGAAGTGCTGGACAATTCCCCAGTGTGTGAGAATCTGCGTAAGTTAGAATCCGTAAGTTGAAATCGATATCCCTTCAACTTGAACTTTTGACATCTCAGAAGCTGGTGCGAAGCCGCCATAGCAGCGATTGATTTGATGCCATAGCAGCGATTGATTTGATGCCAAGCAGCGAAGTTTAATTCTAGAATTTTGTGTCTTGCCTAGAATCGCGACCGTAACTCAACTGTGTGTGCTTGAAATGCAGCTGCACATGTTCGTGAGAGAAACCCAGCGGATGTACCCAACTGCTCCAGCGCTGACCCGAACTCTGGTAAAGGATGGAGTCAGTCTGCTCGGCAACAGCTTGCCGAAAAATCTGACTGTCAGAGTGGATGTGATCAGACTTCACCGTAATCGAGAGACGTGGGGTGACGATGCTGACGAGTTCAAACCTGAACGCTTTAAGAATGGAATAGCACAAGCATGCAAGCACCCCTACGGTTACATACCTTTCGGAGCCGGCCCGAGAACCTGTGTAGCACAGAACTTCGCCATTACCGAGGTGGAGCTCATCACAAGCATGATATTGGAGCGCTTTAGATTTCGACTTTCTCCATCCTACTGTGATATGCCGATGGTCATGCTAACCTTGCAGCCAGCGTGTGGCGCACCTTTGATTTTGGAACTATTAAAGCCTTAAGAAGCCATATCCTAACCTGACTGCTAGACAATCTTCTAAGTTCACGCCAGCACTTCTGATTTGTAATAGCTGAGATAAAATATTCAAGTTCTAATTGGTTGGTAAGTCTGAGTCTTGGGAATTCGTAAAAAATAAAATATGCTTTTCTTACTGAACTTTGAATATTTTACTGAGAAGCTTGAAGATCTCTGTTGTCTATAACAGTTTCGTATTCTTTTGGAAATTGAGGGCTGTTGACACGGAGAAGTTGAGAATTCATTTGTCGGATGCTATGGACTGGCCTGCGCACTTTGAGAATATGGTGACGGTTCGAATTTAGAACTGAGTCACGATGAACTTTTCACTTTGATTTATTAGCTCTGAAGAAAAATAGATTATTTTCTGCAGGCTGCGTTGGCACAAATTATTCCCCGAAGTTTTCTACCGACGTACATGTGTATGTCTATACATGACCGAGATCTTCTCGTACGGCATTTTGCTTTTACAATTTCTCTTTTTATTCTAAAAAATGACTTATATTTAAAATGCCCTTATACATCAATTGATAGTGAATGTGAAACTTTCCTCCAAACTTGACGGAGATTGTGTACTGAAGTCATCTGAGCATTTTTGAGTCAACAACAGATTGTTGCCTGAATAGAACAAATCATGAAAACATTGAATAAAGACAGACCTTAGTTTTTAGGTTGTTTACGTTATTTGAATATATTGAATTTTTTTAATGTTTTTTCCCCTATCTACAATTGCCGAAATTTTTTTATCTATGATACAAGTATGCAAAACAAAGGCAGCAGACGTGCTGGCTGAATAGAGCAAGCCATCAAGCAAAGTACTCAATCAAGTCGAAGCCTTTTGAACAAAGAAATAACTTCGACGCAAACTACGGAGAAAACCGTTTGCAAAATGCCATATGCATCGGAAGGACGACTATTACTGCAAACATGGCACGGCAGAAGAAAATTAAGACACCTCAAACGAACAGCGAAACAAAGCAGTCCATGAAAGGATATCAACATATATTGACGATAAAAACATTAACTAGCGTCACTATCTTAAATCAGTTCTGTCTTATGGATATGTAGACAATAACTTTTAATTTGTACTTAGCTGTCTCTTGATGTCATCAAGAGACATCTACGTACAAATTAATATCATAGGGCGATGAGGTCCGAGGGGCGAAGGCCAGGAACCTAGGTTCGGGTTTGACTTTCAACCCGAACCCGACCCGAAAAACCTGGTCGGATCGGGTAGAACCCGAATCGACCCAGGGGATCCATGATCGTGAGGGGACTGCCAGTGAAGATATGGCGAGTCGGAATTGGGTAATTGGAGCTGCGAGTAGTTTCTTGACGAGTAGGCGATGGGAAAATTTTTCTTGTAGGCAAGATGAGCAGCATAGGTAGCGCAGCGCGGCCGAGATAGACGCAGAAGCGAGCGAGCAAGGGAACATGTGCCTGCATCGCATCAAGCGAGGTGCGCAGCAGGCGTGAAGAGGAGGAGGTGTGCCAGATACAAGAGGAGTAGCAGAGTTTTGCGAGACGGAGCAAAACAAAGTTTAAGGAAACCATTCCTCATCTGTTACTCAAGCATCTATTATACACAATTCCACGAAAGTAGTGGATGCAGTCTATGGTTCCCACGTACAAGTTTATTAAATTATGAGGTGGGATTTCTAAACTTCAAAGGTCGAGCTCAGACAAATTGCTCGAAGGTTTTGTATTTTCTACCTGTATAACGTTCCATGTAAGGACGTAGGATCTCTGAAAGGTCCTACCTTAAGTTCGCATGCTGCACAGGTTCGGGGATAATCGTGGTTTCACTGAAACCAGGAGCGGAGAAACCAGAGCAGATGTGATTGTAGCTTCCTCAGTCATGTCCACATCTTCTGGTTTCATTCCTGCAGGAAGAGAGAACTCGAGAATTTGCAACAATGTCGCCAGAGTGATCTCCACCATCAGCCCACCAAGTCCCATGCCTGGACACTGCCTTCGACCAGCTCCGAAAGGCAGGAGGCAGAAGTCTTGGCCTTTCACGTCTATGAGATTGTTCGCAAACCTCTCCGGCTTGAAACTGGTCGGATCGTCCCACGATTCTGGGCTTCGTTGAATGGCGTATAAGTTGATTAGAACCTGCGTATCCTTTGGAACTTTATATCCAGCGACAGTCGCAGGCCCCATGGACTTGCGAGGTAACAGAAATGGCACCGCTGGATGAAGACGGAAAGTCTCCTTTATCACCATCTTCAGGTACTTGAGGTTGACAAGGTCTGACTCTTCCACCACTCTCTCTCTGCCCACAACTTCGTCCAATTCCTTCAGAAGCTTCTCCTTGACCTCTGGATTCCTCATCAATTCGGCCATCACAAACATAAGGGTGCTTGATATAGTGTCTATACCAGCTATAAACAAATCCTGTCAGAGTGCAACGAAAGGAAGGTCATGATCAGGCTCATGCTCTGAATTTGAACATTTTCCATGGGAGAAGGCATCTAAGTGATACTTCAAACTACAAAACAGATCTTGACACCACCGTTAAATTACATCCCGAGGAGTACAATGGATTCATGCCAGTACAGCCCAACTCTTGAATACTGCAGTTATTGTAACCCTCCATACATATCCTCACACTCGGATTTTGTGACATGTAGGCTATTTCTACAGTTGATGAGACGATCAGAACTAGGCATAAATATGATTCGAACTTACAGTGACGAGAGCTTTGATTTCGTCATCGGTTATGTTTTTTCCTTCTTCAGTGCGTTGTATGGACAACAAAGTTTGCATCAAGCCTGGATCCTCAGAAGTAGCAGGTGGAGCTTCGCGACGAAGGGCATTCATGGCATCCGAGAGAATGTTATCGAACTGGAGATGCAATTTCACAATTCTGGCTTCCGCGCCTCCCACGTCCAGCCACCTCAAGAACGGAAAGCAGTCACCCACCACAGAGAGGTCTAATTTAGCCAGTTCTTTGAAGAGTTGTGTGAGCTTCTTCATAATATTGGATTCAGATGACTTTGCCACTGACTTCCCTGCAATTAGTCTTTTCCCGAACAGCATTTGGGGTATGAGGGTGAGCATCATGTCGAGTAATTCTTCGCGTAAATCTATGAATTGATTTTGCTGACATTCAAGTAGGGAGTCCACAGCCGTCATCAGCGTCTCATGCCTGGAAACCTTCGAATAAGCAACAAATGCGACATTGGACTGGATTAGTTTTAATTCCCCCAAGGACTACTAGAGCGCCATTATTATAAAGAAAATTCGCTGCCTCGATCTGAATTGACATATGACCCGTGGATATGACACCAATTACGTGTTGAAAGCAAAGGATGTCGTCACTCGAAGACGGTGGCCTAAATGCGATGCTTCCATTCCCAAGCACTGCTGATGTTCATTAACTATGTTGCATAGGATGGTACAAGCCCAGGAAAGTAAGACTACATGCTGGAATGTAGCTAGATCAAACACAGAAATTGTACAACGACCTGAGACGTATCCAGCTGATGAAGATTGTGTCTTACAAGTATATTCTTAGTGTAGAATTGAAGTAGCGAGGACGTGATTGATCCGAAAATCATCATCCCAACATTGTAGCAAGCATGCAGCCATCGACACTGATCAGAGATTGACTTAATGTCTTGTATGTACGACACCTGTTGCTTTTGCATGGCCTTTGAAGACATGAACTCGGAGCCAAGTTTCTTCATAAAACGCCAGTGATCGTCAGTTGGTGAATATATGATGTCTTTTCGTTGGTAGCCGAATAGCTCTCCCATGACTGTGAGAGGACGATCTGCAAACGATGCATCCTGAATTTTGAGAATCTCCTTGGCCAAATCTGGAGACGATATAATCAAAACCTTTAGCATTCCTAACCTCAATTCATACAGAGGTCCATATTTCTGGGCGAGATTCATCATAGTTCGATGGACAATCTTTTTGCGGTGCAGAAGCGGAAGGTGTCCAATCACTGGCCATCCACGAGGTCCAGGAATTCCCGTCTCTTTCCCAAGGATCACGTTCGTCTTGTAGACGAATGCAGTCAATACGAGAAAGATAAGGAGCAGCAGCCATTGTGCACTCATGTCGGAAAACATGTCGGGCCACCTTCCAGCGACGGCCCGAGTCCCTTCCGAATTCCGTACCGATGAAACGGCGGGTCTCTGAGATTTGGATCTACAACCACTTTGAGGTCGACAAATCCGCAATTGCGGTGAATTGCACAGATTGCAATTTACAGAGCAGAGCTGGACTTGGTTTGACTTATAAACTGGAACACTTCATCTCTCCTTTCTTTCACGCATCGATAGACTTTTACGAAAATTGAATAACCTAAAATTTTATAGTTCTATTATGTACATTATAATATTCGATTTTATAATAAGAAATATAATTATATACAAAACATGTGGACTATAAAATTTTATTATGTTATAAATATAAAAGAGAAATCTAACATATATAACATGAGTCTTTATTGTGATTACAGTGATCGGATCTGCAACCGCTTTGAGGTTGACATTTTCGCAATTGCTTTAAGTGCAAGTTAGTTTGAAAGTGTAACCCAGGTATGACTTTCAAACTGGAAAACTTCCAGTCCTGGCATGCGATAGATAACTCCGGGAACTATGTTTTAACATTTAATTAAAAAAAGATACAGAAATGTTTATATTTTTATTACTTGGATTATAATAGTCGAAATTATATTCTGATAAATATAATATATATGTATGTATAATAACAGTAAATTAACATGTTAATTTCTTATTTTAATTTTTTGATTATAGACGTGAATTTATTATAAAAATTATAATGATAGTTATTTCAAATCCCAAGTATAATATCTTATAATTGAATCAATTTCTCATGGTTATAGTTGAATCAAGAATTAAAATCTTGATAAATTTCCATGTTCTTTACTATGGTAATTTCGGATCGTTGAAGAGAGACTAAATATTGCTTTTCGATAGTATATGAAACATGACAAAATATCTCACGAACCTTCAATTCAAAAACAGTAAAACTAAAAATAAAAGTCAAAATAATAGGGAGAGAATTTCAATATATAATATATATATTTATTTAGTCTAATTCTAATCTCGTGCTCAAATGTTAAGCACGAGACAAGAAGTATGATTGATTACACTGGATTAAAAAGTAACTATATATATTAAATATACGCTGAATTGATGTGTCCTGTGTTGTGATAGGATACATATAGTCAACGGAGGAAACAGTGAATGAATGTGCTGAGGATTTATTTTCCTAAATAAAGTTTATGAGTCGCAGATCCATGGTCCACATGATGGCAGATTGAAGTGATCCACCATCAGCCAGTTGCAAACGTGGAAGACATTTGTGCATTTTATCCATGTAAAAGAAGGGAGGAAAAGCCAAACACAAGGTGATTTGTATTGCTGTCATCTTATACAATATGACAGCAATAGGCAAGGTACCAAGTTCGCAATAGGTAAGTTGGCAAAAAACTTAGAGGTTACATATAAAAAGATTACTGAGTACAAACTTCATGAAGAATGTAGTAAGTAATGTGTGTATGTTCGGGCTGACTGTAGTAGTGAAATGAGATGGCAAGAGAATGGTTACAATGAATTTATTGTCTCCATGCATTGCACAGCTACTTGAATGAATGAGTCAGACATTGACGTACGAAATTGGTGTGTGAACATGAGCATCAACTTCCTATAATCGAATCGGTAGTGAAGAAATTTGATGCTTATCTGATAGTGCGACACAAAAGATAGTTTGTACATGTGTTAGATTTTCACGGCTTCAAACGGAAACAACAAAACAACAATGTTGCTGAGTTGTAAGAGTGGAGGACGAGAAAACATAGAGAAGATGAAAGAAGCACTGAAATTGAATGAATGAATGGGGCAAAGGATGACACAAAACTGGCGTACTGTTGGGCCAGCAATTCCGAGGAAGAGGCGATGACATGACATGACATGACATGCCCAGCTTAGGGCAGAGCAGGCCAGCCGGGCCTGCCTGACTTCATAGCTCACGAGGAGCGAGTTCATGTGAACTTTATGCACGAGGAGTTCTGGAAAACATTTTATCTGGCCGCGCATCAGGCCCTGTGATGTGGCGGGACCTTTGGCAGGAGGGAGTGTGCTGGGCTTGGGTGGTGATGGCAAGGCAGGTGGAATCAGAACAGATGCCGGTGGAGGAAATACGTTCATCTCCGGTACCATTACATTCATCTTCCTGTCCGAAGGAACGCTGACGGGACTCGTTATGAAGAAAGAGCTCCCATTGTATTCGGTCCGCTGATCAGACTCTTCTGCTTGTGCTTTTGATGACATGACACATGCAATCCTTTCATTTTGGCTGAACCAACTTTCAAATATGTCAATAAAAGAAAGGGAGGAGTTCAAGGATTCTGCACAAGATCGATCGGTTGTATTACAGAGTAACAAGAGTCCAATCCAGAGCAAGTTATTGTAGGCGTAAGAATCACTTGAAACAACGAGATGCGTTTTCTTTCATGAGCCCAGTAGACTGGTTTTCTCAAAATTCCACATACCCGAGAAGATCTTATCTATTCCAATTGTAGACATTTAGTTCTATCAGTCGATTAAGGATTATAATTGATCAATTTCTTATTAAGCCCCAGGTCTGAACATCAAGCTGGTCAAGCACATCCTCTATGCTGAGGAATACATACCACGGTGAGATCTTTCCGGTACGTCTGGCTGGAAGCCGGAAGTCGGAAATACGGCAAACTCTTCGGCGAAGAGATTCTCTGCACTTCTGAAATTCCGGCTGCCGAATTTCCTCACTGCCTAAAATTCGGGACTGCGTTTTGACCCTCCCAGAACCCGTGAGTCCTCTTGTTCCGGCTGGCAAATGGCAAATCCTCTTCAATGTTTCTTCCTACCCACTGGTTCGTTTCCGTCATTTTCCCGGGAAATAGCGTCGGCTGCAACGCAAAGGGGTCGGCGTCCCGGAATGCGTCGAGTGAACGTAGCACGTGGAGAGATTGCAAAGTTCTGCTAGAACTTTGCAACGATTCCTCGTGGGCAGCGAGATGAAGATGGCCAATTTATCCACTCCCAAGATCAAATGTTGAACTCGGCACGGCAGTTGGTGTTTCAGCTCCAGCTTCGGATTTGGTGGTGATCAAACATCAAACTTTTTGCAGTAGCTTTCGACAAGTGTCACACTCTCATTGCACTGTCGGCTCGTGGTTTCTGATGGCCGCAGAGTTCGGATGCGTGCAAAATCCGCCTTTTTCATTTCTGGTCAGCTGTTATACGCAGTGAGAGTGTCAAACTCCTGCTCAAACTCGGGATGGCGTTTTGGGCACCTCCACAATCCGACAATCTCGAGGTTTCGGTGGCGCATCGAGTTCTGCAACGACACGCAACATTCAATTCGGGCAGGTTCAATTTGGGTCTGCCCTTTGCTTATACGTTACGCAAGTTGTACAAACCAATTCCAGTCTAGCCCGTCTAAGGTTTGACCATCTGATCCTGGAGTCATATTGCCAGTCTTACCTTTGATACTTTCATATGAGAATATCAAAAGTAAGACTGGCAATATGACCATCGGGTAAGACTGGTCTCCAGAAGACGATTCAAAAAGCAAATTCGAAGGGGACCGGATCTTCTGCGGCTATATACACGGCTTGCCACAAGGCCCATGAGGCAGAATTAAGATACACGTCCGATATCACATGCTGGAGTTCCGAGCCATGATTTTGGGAAACTGATGCATAAATGTGACGGCGCTCGGGTAGTCTCGGATCAAGAGGAGCAGCGTTGTCGATTTCATCAGGAGTGTCTGTCGAGTGGAGTGAGTTGAGGTGAGGTGAGGTGAAGTGAAGTTCCTGTCTTGTGAGTCGACGACGAGGACTCGAAATGGCTACGGCGATGTCTGTTATTCTGATGGCATTGGCTGCCCTTCTATTCGTGAGTATTCTTCGAAACGTAATGATCCTCTTCCGAGTCGCCATCTGGGAGCGTTTTAAGGTGATCAGAATGATGAAGAAGGAGGGATACAGTGGACCACCATTCTCCGTGTTCTCAGACAATCTCGAGGAGTCGAGGGCGATGAAGCAAAAGGCTCGCAAGGCAAATGCCTTGCAGAGATTCGGCACCGTCGACCATGATATATGGGATCGAGTCCATCCTGATATTAAAGAGTGGAA